GTCGGCTGAACGTTGTCGGAAGAATCTGCATAAAACTGGAACTTCCTGAATTCGACGTGAAGTGTCATAAATACTGGTTATAATTTATTCCAGAAATGGGCATAAAATGGGCTGAGTTTGATTAAACTCATAATTTCATCAAAACCAAATGAAAAAAGGTGGAAGAAAAATATTACATTTTCTATAGAATTTTTTTTTTGAAATGATCAATTAATTAAGTCCAAAACTTTGGCACCAGCTCATAATATAAAACACAGATATATCATTATTAATATCATCACATAATATATCTATATAATGATATAATTATATTGTTATAATATCAGTGTCTCATTATGTATTCTGATAAACTAATGTATAAAGAATAAAAACAAATGTAAAATCTGTGGTCAACATCAGTGGTTATCTACAAACCAACCACAGTGACTCGTGGGTTTGTCTTTAACTCCCTGCTCAGAGGCAGACTACGTTACAGACTTGTTGTGCTCTCCAGCCACCAATTGTAGGCTGCCCAGTCAGATATTTATTACTATTGATCCAGCTGGTCCTGGCTGCAGACTTTTGTTCTGCTACTCAAGGCTCTGACCTCAATTAAGTTATGAATTTCTATCTGATAGACTGGGAGCGCGTGGGGGCCTGCTGTGGCCACGCTACCACGCTGGATTAATTAGAATTAGCGGTGCTGCACGTTGCCCTCTCCGCCTCATGGATCATGTTGTTTTAATACAAAGTAGAGGCGGAGGAGGGATGGAGAGGAGAGGGTCGGAACTGGAGGCGGAGGGGAGGAGTGATGAGGAGAGAAAAATAAAAAAAAAATGAGCAGAACAGCAGAAATATGTTCATGTGCCTCAAACCTGAGCTGCTTTGTTCCTTTATCCCTGAATCTGGCCGAAGACGGCAGCGTTTCCTCCCCGCCTTTGTGTTTGTGCTGCACTACCTGCCCCTCACCTGTCCGTCCTCTTTGTCAACCTAATCCGTCCTCCGTCACTTACCCTGTGACTAATCGCTTTAAGTCGGACATTGTGTGACTCTACTCCGGGCTTTTCCTGACCTTTGTCAGAGTCTGGACCGAAGTCCCTGTCTTTTTCAACTCTAATTCCCACAACTGGGAACATCCTCGACAAAGGTGCTTTACCATGACGACCCGAGGACTCGCTGTGGCCACTGGACAAGACCTGAGAAATGTACACTAAAAAACAAAAGCTGTGTCGATGTGTGTGAGACACCTGGACACAGACTGACTGAGTGACGTGACGAGTCAACGAAGAAGCAGAAGTTACATGATATTCAAGCAATTGAACCAGTTACTGTTGAAGGATGTTCCTAATTTTATCAACTTGTTTTCAAAAAAACTGAGCAGTTTGATCGCTGAGTCACATTGAAAACAAAAGGTTCAATGTATGAATTTATTTCTGAACCAATTATCTCAGAAAATACAAATATTTTTTAAAAAGGGAACGTGACATGAATGAGCGTTTGTCTTGTGAGTTCATGTCTGCGCTGCAGGTCATTAGGTTTTAACCTTAATTTTCAACAGTCAGGACTTATGTGACTGCGTTTACAGACCACACTTTTGTACGGTTAAAACTAAGGACACCATTTCCAGACTTTTAATTTTGGGACATAATGAATAAAAAGCAGACTATGCCAAGGTTAATGCAGTTATAAATCAAAATAAGTGTTTTCCTGACAGGTTTAGGGATTACAGCATCTTGAATAATTCTCAAGAAAGTAAAGAAACAGCGAACGCTTGACTGAAGTTTGACTGATTTAAAACGTCGAAACATTTAAAACGTTTATTTTCCGTTTATTAAACCTGTGAAACAAACTCGGTTGTAATTAGAGTTCAGGTAGAGTTGCAGCTTTTTTTAAAAATTTGGATGTGATATGAAGGAACGTCCTAATCTGGAGACTATTCCTTATTAACGCAAACAAGTCAAAGGTTTTAATCTTTACATTTTCATTGTTTTTCTCAGTTGGTTTCGTTTGCCCCAGTTTCTCAGTGTGTGTCAGTCCAGGGTGCAGTGATGTAGATACACAGTCCCACCACCAGGGCCTGCTTTACAGCTGGCAGGTGGCAGAACTATGATCCGTGTATTCATAAACACACACACACACACACAGCTACCTACTGTAGTCCCACTCCTGCCTTGATCCAGGATTAACAATCGAACCGGCCTTTAATGCAGGTTACCAGGGTTTGGGAACAATTCGCTAAAACAATCAGTTGATTAATTTCAAACGATTTTCCTCCACTGCCAAGCGAATAATAATACTTTTTGTTTTAACTCTCAAGCCCCCCCCCCCCCCCCTCCCTCTTTTTTCAAACACACAAAAATAAAATATATTTTTTTTTTTTTTTTTTTTTGGTGGAGGTCAAGAGAGATTACTATTTGCTCTAATAGCCCTGAAAACGACCCAAACATTCCTCTGATTCTCCCATGAACACATTCAGAAAAAAAAAAAAAAAAAAAACCCCACTGCTGATCGTTACCATTTTTAACGCAACGAAGCATCAACATTCCTCTCAAATGTTCTATTCCTGACTTGGACCAAACAAAGGGACGTTCCACTGGGTTCTAATGAGAGCCACACAGTTGTGTAAGCTGTCCATAGTGGGATCATTTGGCATAGGGACAGAGTGATATGATTTAGCCGACTATATTTTTTTCTCTCAGCCACCTCAGAGACACCTCATAAATCAGCTGCTAATAACTGCTGTGGAGGTTCATCCTGCAGGAGACCGTTCAGTCCTCAGACACCCGCTGGACCGAGCAGCAGCAGCAGCAGCAGCAGCAGCAGCAGCAAGGCCAGGAGCAGCAGCAGAAACAGAAGCAGGCGCTGTTGGAG